AGTGAACACCGCTTCCCCCGGCAGCTCCACAGGGCCAGGTGCTCGGGCGGAGCTCACGGCTCACACTGTGTCCAAATAAAAACCGGAAACGCCTTCAGTGTTGTGTGGCTTGCTTGTCCGTGGGGACCCTCACCGAGGGGAGCAGAAGGCTTCTAGAGGCTCCTGGCCCTCGGTGTCCAGCCAGGACACAGGTGCTGAGCCTGGGGCCTGGGCCCAGCACTCCTCTCCTCTGCTGATTGCCCAGCCCAGCCCTGCTCTGGCCCAGAATCCAGTCCCTGCCTCAGCCTTGCCCCAGCCCAGCCCTGCCCTGCCCCTGTGCCAGCCTCTTCCCTGTCCCTGCCCCTTCCCAGCCCTGCCTCTGTGGCAGCCCCTTCCCTGCCTCTGCCCCAGCCCAGCCCCTGCCCCAGAGCCCAGGAGGACAGGCGGGCAGGAGACGTTTTCTGGGGCCTGACCAGCGGGTCGTCCTCGGAGTTTCCTGGTGTGTGTGTTTAAAGCTGTTTCTTCCAAAGGAGACACTCGGGGCGGAGAGAGGTGCCGGGGGAGCTGCAGGGGGAGTGAGCTCAGCTCCAGGTGAAGTGCTCCCCTGGGGTGGACCACATCCTGGCTGCCCCCTCCTGCCCCGGCCGCCGCTTCGGCCCTGCTTTTCCTCCTGCACCGGCATTCCCGCCCCGGACTCTCATCCCGGTCAGGCAGACAGTGCCGGGAGGGTGCCGCCTCCCTGCACCAGCTGCCCGCCCCCCGCCTTTCCCCCGATCGGGACTATTTCTTTCGGAGAGCACTTAGTGGACGCCTTCCGAGGAGCGGTTCATCTCACACAGAGACACCGCCTCGCCCTGCTCCGGGCTGCGGCTCTCCGCTCCGTCCTGGGCACTGGTGCCGGCTCCCCACCCCGGAGCCCTGGGGAGCCGTTCCCCAGGGTCAGAGAGCAGAATGCCTCGGACACCCAGGGCGGCCGCCCAGGGGCTGGGAGTCGGGGCAGGGCCGGGGTCCCGCAGGGGCCTGGGGTGCACGGTGCACACCTGCCCTCACTGGCTCCGGGCTCTTGCCTCCCGGGGTGGCACAGGCCTGGCCCCTGTTCGTTTCCAGCAAGATCCCAGGACTGCTGCCGCCTTCCCCCCTGGAGGCCTGACCCTGACCCTGACCCTGACCCAGACCCCAGGCATCAGCACTTCGTCCCCCGCCCCCTGGCCTCGGGCCTCGGCTACCTGTGGGGCCAGGGCCACCTCGCGTGAAGGGGGCGGGGCGAGCTGACGTGGCCTGGGCTGGCTGGGCGTGCCGGCGGCCCACAGCCGGGGAGGGGCTGCCCTGTCTGCGGGTCCAGGTGGCCTGGCCAGGCTCTGGGGGCCTGAGCGCTCTGCCGGGCCTGAGGGGGGTGGGCAGGCCCGGAGCGCAGCCTGAGCCTGTGCAGCCGGGCCTGGCTCTCTCCAAGAGGCTGCGGAGTCTCACATCTGCCCAGTTTGGGTGTAGAGCATCACACCACCGCTAATTAAATCCCAGAGGAGAACATGTGTTCCTGCGTTTCCCACCGCGCCCAGCAAGCCACAGGCAGTGTGAGGGCCTGCCCCCCTCCGCACACCGGGGTGGCACCGTCCCAGGGCGGGCCCTCCCTCCTGGGTGGAGGGCACCGGCTCGGCACCAGCTCCTGGTGGGCGTGGTGGGCACTTGGGGACCGGGGCGGGGCCTGGGGGTCAGCACAGGGGCAGGCCCTTGTCCCCTGAGGCATCTCTGAGGGGTGCCTGGACCCAGTCCCCTTGGCACAGGGCCCTGCCTGGTCCTGAGTCTCCTTTAAAAGCTGGCCCTGCCCGTCCACTGTGTGTGTGGGGGGGGCTCCTGAGGTCCATGGGGGCCCAGAAGACCTGGGGCAACGAAGGAGGGGGCAGTTTGGGGGCATCTATCCTGAGTGCAGCTGAAGTTGGAACCCTTGGGAGCTGCTCCCCCCAAGCTTTTGCGGGCCACACCCCACCACCCCACATAGCAGTGCCCAGAGGGAGCCCTGCGGCCGCCCCACCCGCCCACAGCGGGGGCCAGGCTGGCTCTGCGCCTCGCCCCGGCCCCTCCGGAGGGCTGCCGGCCCACCCGGGCCCACGGAGCTCCAGTAATGGTTTTAATTGGTTGAACTTGTGTTTTATCCCATAAATTAGTCACTGTTTTATTTAACAGAATCAAGATATCCACAAACAATAGGCGAGTTCCAACTTGAACGTTTTAATAAGACAGAAAGAAGCATATATTTTCGCGTCTGTTACAAACATATTTATGTAAATAGCCCGTGGGCTGTGCTCCAGAGGGGAGGCAGGGAAGGGCCTGGGAGCGGGGCCGGCGGGAAGGAGCGTCTGTGGTGGGGACGGCAGTGAGCTGGGTGCTGGGAGCTGGGAGCTGGGAGCTGGGCGCTGGGCGCTGGGAGCTGGGTGCTGGGTGCTGGGAGCTGGGAGCTGGGCGCTGGGAGCTGGGTGCTGGGTGCTGGGAGCTGGGTGCTGGGAGCTGGGAGCTGGGTGCTGGGAGCTGGGAGCTGGGTGCTGGGAGCTGGGAGCTGGGAGCTGGGAGCTGGGTGCTGGGAGCTGGGTGCTGGGCGCTGGGAGCTGGGAGCTGGGCGCTGGCGCTGGGAGCTGGGCGCTGGGAGCTGGGCGCTGGGAGCTGGGCGCTGGGCGCTGGGAGCTGGGCGCTGGGAGCTGGGCGTTGGGAGCTGGGCGCTGGGAGCTGGGTGCTGGGAGCTGGGAGCTGGGTGCTGGGTGCTGGGAGCTGGGTGCTGGGAGCTGGGTGCTGGGAGCTGGGAGCTGGGTGCTGGGCACACAGGGGGCCCGCGGGCACGGGACAGGAGCCCAGGGGAGGGTCGGGTGGACTCCAGCCTGTCGTCTCCTCAGGACAGCGGTGTGGCCCTTGCAGTGTGACAGGCCCTGAGCCGCCCTCAGTGGAAGAAGGTGGTGGGGCCCGGGAGAAGGTGGGCTCAGGGCAGAGCTGGGGAGACAGCGCAGAGGATGGGGTTTCATCCGCCGTTCGGGAGTGACGGGGTCAATGAGCGGGAGGAGAGTGCGCCCACTGCCTGGGCTTCTGAGGGAGCCCCCGCCCGGGTGCCACCCGGGAACCGGCCCCCTCCGGCTCTGCCCCCATGTGCCGCTGGCAGAGGCCCAGCCGCATCCGGACGGGATCCGGGTACACGCCGTTCCGGCCCAGCAGGTCCCTGCAGGAGGGAGGAGGCCCAGGAGCCTTGGCGGACAGAGAGGGCTGCCCAGGGAGGGGGCCTGGGGACCTCACGGAGCCCGTGGGGTCTTTGTCGGAAGCCTGACCGCCTCTGCCCGAAGGTGCCCTTGAGTCCCCTGTGGGGCCTTCAGGCAGGGCTGAGGGAGGAGCCCAAGCCCCCCCCCCCCCCCCCCCATCTGCCCAGGCCCCTGGGGAACTTGGCCTCATCCCAAGGGCGAAACTGGTCCTCCCCCATCTCTTCCAGGGCTGAAGGGTCCCCAACGCCCCCTCCTCCCTGCCTGGCACATGCAGCAGCAGGCCGTGCCACCCTGCCCGGCTGGGTCGCCGCCAGCTGCTTGGGCTGATTTTAAAAATAAAAGATAACCTGATGATATTTTTTTTTCCAGTTTTTATTGAGTGAAAATGTCAAACCTTGCATCAGTCATGCAAAAAAAAAAAAAATCAAATAAATAAAACACATATATTAAATTTCTAATAGCACTAAATTCAAGTGGAAAAATATTCAGTTCTTAATAACCAGGTGCCGAGGAGACCAGATTCAAGTAATCAGAGCACACGCTGTTCAGTTCAGTTCTCACGTTCTGCGTTTTTTTTTTCTTTTTGTCTCAAAACCTCTCTATATATCTCTATATATCTATATATGTATATACATATAGATATATACACACATATGTGCATACATATTACTTTATATTTATATATATACACATACATAGTTATAAAACATTAAAAAGAGCATTGGTGGATCAAGCATTGTTTTCCCCACAGAAAGAAAATGAAACAAAAAAGTTACACATTAAAATTCAAAATGAGCTAGCAATGGCTTATAGTCCTAGTGTGCAATATGAAGGTTACAAAAGGCTAGACTTCGCAGGTCGGCGTCTTCTTTCTTTTTTGTTTTGTTTTGTTTGTTTTTGTTTGATTTTGCTACATTGAAAAACGTTTTTGTTTTTTTTTCTTTACAAAACTTCCTGCACAGACTCCGCGGTCTGCGCCCGGCACGGCTGGGCGAGCGCTCGGCGGCGGCAGCGGTGCCCGCGGACTGGGGAGGCCTGGCGGGCTGTTCTGGAAACGCGATGTTCCCGGGGGCCGGCCTCCCTCCCCGCTCCCTCTCCAGTTCCGAGGACCGGCTTCTGGCTGTGGGCGGGCCAGAGGACAAAACAGAAAAAAAGAAAGAAACAGGACGCCAGGGCCCCCGCTGGGCAGGGCTCCCCTTTGGAGACCGGGAGGGAGGCGGCTCTGGGTGACAGGCAGGCCTCCCCCCAGACTGGGCCGCCTCCTCCTGTGGCCGGCGTCTCGGGGCCCAGCGGAGACCAGCTGGGAGCCCGGAGCTGAGGGGAGGCGGACAGGGGGGGCCGGTCCTGGGTCCCTGTCACCCTCATGGCCACGGGCCAGGCCGGCCGCGCCGGGCCTGGTGACATCATCGCCAGGAAGGGGGGATGTTTTGAAAAGGGAACCAAATCTGGGTGGGTAACACCAACAAAGAAGCATCCCGGACAAAAGAATAAACTGGGAAAGAAAGGGGGGGGGGGGAAGCCCTAGAAAGCCACACACATAACCCATTGAGAAAAACTCAAATGTCAACTACACACGTATCAATGGTAAAAGTCCTTTCCTCTGGCCTCGGAAAAATTCAAGTGAAAAGCTGGAATCGCGCGGCTCCGGCGGTGCGAGGGCGGAGGGGCCTCGGCTGGCGGGGCCGCAGACACGCCCAGCAGCCCGGGAGCCACGCACCGTCTCACCTCGGAGCTCCACACGGACAGGGAATCACTCCTACCCGCTCCCGCCCCTGCGCTCTCCTCTTTGTTCTGTGTAGAATAATAACCTTGACAGGAAAAATACTGTACACCTTTCTTGCATTCCCCCCCATGTTGACTAGGAAAGCCCCAGTCGCATCTTTCCTGGCTGAGACCTGGTGGGCTCGGCACCCCAGGCTGGCTCAGCCTTTCCCGGGGCTGGTGGGGGGCGGTCACCGGGCCGGCCCAGGGGCGCCCCAGCCCTCTGGAGCGGGTGCCGGGCCAGGCCTGCAGTGGGCACAGGGACCAGGAGCTCCTAATTCATGAGGTTTCCTCCCAGGTCCGTAGGGTCGCCTTGCTGACGCCTTCTGCCCCCCCCCCTGCCCCCCAGGGCCCAGGGCGGGCCTGCCAGATGCTACAGGTGCGGCTGCCTCTGGTGGTTTCGGGTAGGGGGTCCCAGGGACCCCCAGCACCCGACCCCCCGTCCTGAGCAATAAGGAATCCCACTGGCGTGGGCGTGGGGCCCGGGGAGGGTCGGCCTCGGGGACCCCCGCTCCCCTCTCCTGCCCCGGACAAGAGCACCTATTTCCCTGAAGAAGATCCGACCTGCAGCCAGAGGCGGCCCCGCGGCCAGGCTGCGGGCGGCGGGCTGCGGGCGGCGGGCGGGGGCGGGGCGGGCGGCCCGGAGCACCAAGGGCCCCGCCTGCCCTGAGACGGACTCGGGGCCCAGAAGCACCGGCGGGCGGCGGGGGGCGAGCCCGGGGCGCCCCGACGCCGGAGCCACCACACACATCGAGCTCTGTACAGAGGGAAGCTTGACGTATAAATACCGTTTCTTACAAAATCAATAACAATACCAACCAGGAGGCGAGCCCCCGGGCGGGCGGCTGTCCCTCCGGGCCCGGCGGGCGGCTAGGGCGAGGCGGCGGGCGCGGGGGCCGCGGGGGCCCCGGGGGCGCCCAGGCCTGCCCGCTCGGGGCTCCGCGCGCCCGGCCCGGCCTCGGGCAGCGACTCCTCCGAGTCGGTGTGCAGGTCCTCGTCCTCCTCGTCGTCCTCCTCCTCATCATCGTCCTCGTCCTCGTCCTCCTCGTCCTCCTCCTCCGGCTCCTCGTTCGGCTCCTCCTCGGCGTCCTCCTCCTCCTCCGGGGAGGACTCGGCGGGCGCGGGGCCGGGCGCGGGGCCGGGGCCGGGGCCGTCGGGCGGGCTGGGGTCGCCCGCCTCGCCCTGCTCCAGGCCCAGGCCCAGGCCCAGGCCGGCGGGCCGCGGCAGGAAGAGCGGGGCGCCCGCGGGCGGCTCAGGGCCCGGCGCCGGTGCGCCGTCCAGGCCGCCCGCCGCTGCCAGGCCGGGGCCGGGGCCGGGGCCGGGGCCGGGGGCCGCGGGGCCGTCGGGGCCCGGCTCGCCCCGCTCCTGCTTCTCGTGCTTGCGCTTGTGCGAGTCCATCTGCGACATGCCCACCACCGTGTGGCGGCAGCCCGGGTGGGTGCAGTGGAAGTGCGAGCACTTGAGCTTGTACTTGCAGTCGGGCGCGGCGCAGTCGGCGCTGGAGCTGAACTGGCGGAAGCCGGCGGCGCTGATGACGTCCTGCTTGCCGTGGTGCTTGCGGTGCGCCGTGACCTTGGTGCTGTCGGTGCAGCGGAAGCGGCAGCGCAGGCAGTGGAAGTGCGTGCTGGCGCCCGAGAAGGGGCAGTCGGCGAAGGGGCAGCGCAGCGAGGCCTTGAAGCGCTGGAAGTCGTCCAGCACCAGGTTGTCCACGCGGTCGTGGTGCTGCGCGTGCTTGTACATGTGCGTGCGCCCGCAGAACCGGTAGCCGCAGTTCTCCCGCGTGCAGTGGTAGTGCGTGACCTTGAGCGAGAACTGGCAGGCCGCGTCCCGGCAGTCCTCGTACAGGTCGAAGCGCCGGAAGCCCTCCAGCATCATGCCCTCGTCCAGCATCTTGCGGGAGGAGGCCGTCTTGCGCCGTTTCCCGAACGGGGACATGTCCTCGATGATCCAGAAGCGCTTCTTGGCCCCCGAGGCCGTGGGCATGGAGATGGTGTTCCCTGCGGGGAGGGGAGGGGAGAGGTGGGGAGGTCAGCGCCCCCGTGGGCACCGTCCCCACGACCCCACCCGCGTAGGGTGCCATGACCCAATTATTATTATTTTTTAAAATATATTTTTATTGATTTCTTACAGAGAGGAAGAGAGAGGGATAGAGAGTGAGAAACATCGATGAGAGAGAATCATTGATCAGCTGCCTCTTTGCACACCCCACACTGGGGATGTGCCAGCAACCAAGGTACACGCCCCTGACAGGAACCGAACCTGGGACCTTTCAGTCCACAGGCCGACGCTCTGTCCGCTGAGCCAAATCGGTTTCGGCAGACGTCCCGATTTTCAATCATTTGTCCCGCGTCCCGCAGCGTTTTAAATGCTGCGGGACGCGGGACAAATGGTTAAAAAATCGGGATTGCGACGAAAGTGGTTTGGCTCAAATGGTTCAAAAATCGGGACTGCGCGGAAACCGGTTTGGCTCAGTGGATAGAGCGACAGCCTTTGGACTGAAAGGTCCCAGGTTCGATTCCGGTCAGGGGCGTGTACCTTGGTTGCGGGGCACATCCCCAGGAGGGGGTGTGCAGGAGGCAGCTGATGGATGATTCTCTCTCATCGATGTTTCTAACTCTCTCCCTCTCCCTTCCTCTCTGTAAAAAAAAATCAATAAAATATATTAAAAAAGAAAAATCAGGACTCCCCCGCCAAAAGTGGGACGTCTGGTCACCTTACTAGGGTCCCGAGTCTGGCGCGGTGGCCAGAGGCAGTGTTTAGGGACCACCCCTGTCTTCCCATGGCTGTATGGGGGGCGGAGGGGGCTCCCCTTTCCCCTCCCCCCAAAAGCCCGGAGCCGGCTTCCCCTCACGTCTGCAGGGCGACCGCAGGCGCCTGCCCCGGTGCAGAGGGACCGCGCCCGCCCCGGGGATGTGGTGGCTGCTTCCTGGCTAGTTTGGGTGGGCAGCGAGGGCCGCCCCGGCGCTAACTGAAGCTGAAGGGGGAATCTGGGTCGGAGCGTAATTACTCAAGTTGGACAGGGGCCAGGCCGCCATCCCCGCGGCCTGTAACGAGGGTGGGTGTCCCGGGGGCCGCCGGCCTGCGCGGGCCCGCCCGCTCGCAAAAGGATGCCAGGCGCCTCTGGGCTGCACGTGCTCGCCCCAGGGAGCGCCGGGCAGAGCCTCCTGGTACCAGAGGTCCTTCAGGTCTTGCTGGGGTTCTCCGCCCAGAGACCTGGGAGAGGGTGCCCCACTGCCAGGGCTGCCCCTTTCGGGGAGGCACAGTGACCCTCAGAGCTGCAGGAGGCGGGGAGACCAGTCCCTCGGCTGCACAGCTCCCTGCCCTTCCCTCACCCCCGAACCAGCAGAGAAGCCCCAGGCCGAGCCCCACAGAGTGGGGGCGGGGGGGGGGACACCCTCCCGGCTCCTCCCACACGGCTGGCCTGCCAGACCCCCTGAACCTGCGCCCCCCTGCTGCACTGTCCACTCAGGACCCAGGCACCACCCTCAGCAGGTGACGAGACACCAGGCCTGTGAGGAGGCGGGGACCCTGGGAGGACGAGGGAGGGCCGGCCTGGAGAGCCAGGTGGGTGAGGAGGGCTCCTTCGGGGGTGAGCTCGCGGGGCTCCACCTGGTAATGCCGGCAGCAGCAGAGCTTTTCTCGGGCTGCATGCCACATGGGACCCCCTGCCCTGCCCTCAGCCATGCCCCTGGGCCTGGCACAGGGCCTGGCACTCAGGTAGCATGTGAGGCGAGAATGGATGGAGGGAGAGGCAGGGCCGGTGACAACTCCGTGAAGGGACAGGGAGGGCCGGTCCGTCCATGCGGGCAGCAGACACCGGAGCCAGGAGGCGGCTCTGCCATTGTGCACGGCACGGGGCCTGGGCACAACCCCCCTCCCCTCCCCCCCCGGCTCTTGATTGACTCCACGGCTGAGGGTTCAGGACCCTCAGAGCCCAGAGCAGGTCCAGGCACTGCAGTCTTCCCAAGAACCCTTCCAGCCTCCGTGCCGGCCACGGGCGGACTCCCAGGCCCAGGGGCGGGCTCTGGCCTAGGAAGGGGGGGGGGCAGGCACAGCCTCCTGGGGCTCTGGCCGGTCACGGAGATGAGTGAGTCCCAGGGGACCCTGGTGGCGACCTTGTGCCCTGCCCAGTCTGAGCAGCAGCTAGAGGAGCCGAGCTCGGGTGGGAGACGAGGCTCGCTGGTCTGGAGGGTGCTGGGCTGTGAGGGGCGGGGGTGGCCCTGACCTTGGCCCAGAGGCCACAGAGGGAGGCCTGGTCCTGAGCCCGGGCCTCGGGGGTTGGCTGGGGCACAGAGGGCGCGTGTGCGTTACCTGCGGCGTCCTGAACTAGGGGGACGTCACTTTTTACCGGAGGTGGAGTGGCAGTGACGGGCGGGAAGCCGGGCTGGCTGCCGAGGGGGTGGGCCAGGCCCCGGGTGGCTCCGAGGGTGGCACTGAGCAGAGAGTATGAGAGACAGGGTGGAGAGAAGAGGCAGGGAAGGGCGGGGAGGGCAGGGAGGGGCGCCCGGAGCACGGCCGGGGGGAAGGACGGAGCCAGTGGGGGCTGCGGAGCCACACGGGCAGCCTGGTCCCGGGCGGAGGCAGCAGGAGGAGGAAGAGGAGGAGGAGGAGGAGCCGGGCAGCCTGGAGAGGGTGGAGAAGAGCAGAAAACAAAACAAAACAAAACAAAACACACACACACACACAAAAACAAAAAACACAAAGAAGAAACAAACAAAAAAAGAACCAAAATGAGAAACCCAATGGTGGAAGCGAGTATGATATGAAAATGTGTGGACAGGTGAGGAGCAGAGAGGAGCCACGGAGAAGAGAGGGAGGAGTGGCCGACAGACTGGGAGCGAGCGGTGCCCGGGCCTGGCCAGGGCCTGGGGCCCAGGGACTGTGCTGGGCCGGGGCCGAGGGCCAGGACAGGGGCCAGGGCTGGTGGGGCGGCGCCTGCCTCGGCCCTGGGCACTGGGGCGGCTCCCTGGCTGGGGCAGAGCTGCTTACTCCATGGCTCCGGGCCTGGGCCTCTCCTGGGCGCCGAGGCCGAGGGCAGGTGCCGGCGAGTGGGGATGGCAGCCGGTGGCCTCCATGGCCCACGTCCCAGACCGCTCACACCGGCCTGGCCTCCTTCGAGGCCGCTTGACCATGACCCTCTGTCCTAGCTCGGGCTCAGCCGTGCTGGCCGTGGGAGGAGGGGTCTGGCCGAGGCCGGGAGCTCCCCGGGCCCCTCTGCCCTGCCCGGCCGGCCCTCGCCCGCTGGGTCCCGGCCCCGGCCGCCCTCACCTGCCGCCGTGCTCTCGTTGCCCACGGGGGTGCTGGAGCAGCTGCGGTCCATGGTGGACGACTCGGAGGACACGGCGCCCGGGCTGCAGCCGGTGTAGTCCATGTACTCATCCGTCTCGGTGTCCAGCAGGCTCGGGGGGCCCTGGAAGGAAGCAGGGTGCCCCGTGAAAACCGGGCTGTGGGCAGGCTGTCCGTCGGGCGGCACGGCCCGCCCTTGGCAGCAGGGGTGGGACCTGGGGGGGAGGCGGCCTGTGGGCGGGGCTGTGGGCAGTCTGTCTGTCTGGGTGGCACGGGCAGCGGGGGCAGGACCCGGGGTGGGGGCGGCCTGCGGGCAGTCTGTCTGGGTGGCACGGGCAGCAGGGGCGGGACCCGGGGGGGGCGCGAGGGGCGGCCCGCGGGCGGGGCTCTCACCTGGGAGGGGGGCACGCGGTCGAAGTTCTTGCCCAGCATCCTGCGCATGTGCTTGCGGGCGTGGGAGGTCATCTGGTGCTTGAGCAGGAAGGAGAACTGGCAGCCCTCGCGGATGCAGTGGAAGTGGCTGTTCACCTGGTTGTACTTGCAGCCTGTGGGCAGGGCCCGGGCGTGAGCCTCCTGGACGGGCGCCCAGGGCCCCTGCCCCGTGCCAGGCCCCGCTCTGGGCGCGGGGGAGCGCGGCCCACAAGTAAGGTGACCGCTCTTGGCGGGACACTCCCGATTTTTAACAATGTGTCCCACGTCCTGTGGCGTTTAAAAAAAATCCTGCTTTTTGGAAAGAATCTTTTAAATCTTTGGGACTTTTTAAAAAATATATATATTTTATTGATTTTGTACAGAGAGGAAGGGAGAGAGACAGTTAGAAACATCGATGAGAGAGTCATTGATCAGCTGCCTCTTGCACACTCCCTACTGGGGATGTGCCCGCAACCAAGGTACATGCCCTTGACCGGAATCGAACCCGGACCCTTCAGTCCACAGGCCGACGCTGTATCCATTGAGCCAAACCGGTTTTGGCTGGGACTTTTTTTTAAAACGCTGCGGGACGCGGGACAAATTGTTAAAAATCGGGACTGTCCCGCCGAAAGCGGGACGTCTGGCCACCTTACCAACAAGGCTGATAGCACCTGGGGGAAGGGCAGCATCCCCCTGCCCGGGGTGGCGTTCTACCAGGAGGGCTGCACCCCCCCCCCCTCCAGGGAATGAGGCCGCGGGGCGCTCCTAAGCCTGGGCTCCCCTCCAGCCTAGCACAGAGGCGGTGACAACGGCAGACGGGCCCCCGCCCCCGACCTGACCCCGAGAGGTCCGTGGGGTCCAGGGCAAGGGGGTCCTCATGCCCGTCCACTGGATCAGCCGCCTCCCAGCAGCCCGGTCCCCACACCTCCGATGGGAGCTGGGGGCTGCCTGCCCCCCCCGACCTGCCCTGCCCCCTCCTGCCTCTGCCTCACTTCGGGCGGAGAGCAAACAGAGCAGGCGGGACTGAAACGGCCTCAGCGGAGGGCAAGTGAAGGCCTGTCCGTTGCCATGGCGCCTGAGCTGGCCAGGTGTCTTATATCATCCCCCAGCTTTGTTTGGCCCCGGCCACCACCCCAAACACCCCAAGTTGGGTAAATAACAGCAACTGCAGAACCCCCGACACCTGCGGACCAAGCCCGGGACGGCACCTGCCACCCAGTGTTGACATCTGTTGCCACGGTTACCAGCCCTCTCCCAGGCCACGGATTCTTTCTGAACTAATACGTGAAGGAAAGGTTTGTTCTCGCCCTTCCCCTGTGGAAGGGCCGGTCAGCGGCAGGCAGCGGCCCCCCCTGCGCTCCCCCAAGTCCCGGCTCCATGGCCACCGGTCACAGCCGGGCTCGCCCGCAGAGCAGGTGTCTGCCGGGCCTGCTGGCCGCCACCTGCCTCCATGCCCCAGCCCCTTCTCGGGCAGGTTCCCGCCCCGCCTCTGCAGCCTGTGGACACGAGGCTGCCCTCCTGCCTGCTGGTCCTGGAGGCCCCTCCCCTCCCCGAGGCTCCCCCAGGGCCGACTCAGGAAGCTCTGTTCCGGGGCGAGGGGCAGCGTCCCTGCTGGGGTCCGATTCTCGGCAGCGGAGTTCACACGGGGGCACCTCCTCTTCCCAGCCCCACGGCCACTCCCCTCTGGGTCACCCCACGTGCAGAAGCTCCGGGCTTAGGCCCCGTGCACCTGCTGTCCCCCAGGTCCCTGCACCGAGCACAGGACGAAAGCACTTTGGCCGCTGCTGCCTTCACGCCCGCCCCCCGCGCCCCGGGGCTCCGGCACCAGCGAGGAGCGCGCACGTGGCGGTCCCTCAGCGCACCTCTGCTGAACGAACGGACGAGCCACTGACTGACCCACGGCACGCAGCCGAGGCCACGGACAGAGACCCCAGCAGGAACGTGAGAGCTCCCAGCATGCACTGGGAAGCCCTCTGGAAAGGGAACGAGCCGGGCCGACGTGGCTCAGGGGCTGAGCGTCGACTTAGGAACCAGGAGGTCACGGTTCGATTCCCGGTCAGGGCACAGGCCCGCGTTCGGGCTCGATCCCCCGCAGGGGACGTGCAGAAGGCAGCTGGTCCATGATTCTCTCATCATTGATGTTTCTATCTCCCTCTCTCTCCTTCTCTGGAATCAATAAAAATATTTTCTTTTAAAGGAGAGAAAAGAGCCAAAACCGGTTTGGCTCAGTGGATAGAGCATCGGCCTGCGGACTGAAGGGTCCCAGGTTTGATTCCGGTCAAGGGCATGTACCTTGGCTGCAGGCACATCCCCAGTGGGAGTTGTGCAGGAGGCAGCTGATCGATGCTTCTCTCTCATCGATGTTTCTAACTCTCTATCCCTCTCCCTTCCTCTCTATAAAAAAAAAAAAATCAATTAAAAATATATTTAAAAAAAATAAAAAATAAATAAAAAAGAGAGAAAAGAAAGGGAAAGAGAACCAAGTCCAGGCCTGGACACCTGAGGAGGGCCTGGTGTCTCCCCAGGGTGGGTGTGTGCACCCCCTTCCCATGGGCTCTTGGGTTCGGACCATCTTCCCAGTTTGACGATGGCTGGCTTGAGCTATCGGTGACGTTTTAACAAAGTCTGGAGCCTGATGTGCGGGGGCAGGAGGTAGGCGCTGAGAGAGGTGGCCCAGGGGCCAGGGCCCCAGCCCCGCCCCGCCCCGCCCCGCCCTCCGGGAGGTACCTGGCCGGCCGCACTCCTCGCGCTTGGTGAAGTACTTGAACCCGTTGGCCGCCCGCCGCTCGGCCTTCTCGTGCTTCTTGATGTGCCAGGGCAGCTTGGTGGTGATGTTGGTCACGAAGTAGCAGCCGGTCCGAAGACAGTGGTAGTGCCCACGCATCCGGAACTCACAGTGCTGCGGGGAGGGGCAGGAGGGTCAGGACCAACCAGGTGGACGAACCCCGTGAGCCCCACTGCCCAGGCCTGGGGCAGACACCTTGCCGAGGTGTCCTTCCCTGCTCAGGAGCAGACACACACAATCCGGTAAAGACCTTTCACCTGCTCAAAAGCAGTTTGTACGCCTCTGGGCCATTTGACTAAAACATCCTGCCTGGTGTGGATGGCACCCTTCTCTAGATCCGCAGCCAGAGCAGACATCACCAATCTATCCTAGCACTCTTCTCTGTGCACCCAGACCTAGGCAGACATCACTAATGTATCCTCGCACATCCTTGTACCCAGATCCAGGTCCAGATTCCTCCATAAGTTCGCTCTGAATCTGACCTGCCCTTCCTGCCTGGGCACAGACAGCTCACTCTCTTTATATGTCCCGAGTGGCTATTTTAAATTCAGGCCTTTGGGGAAAGGGAACCTCGCGAGTTCCAGGAGGCAGAAGGAGGCCAAGGTCCCGGTGGCTGCCCAGGATGCAGTCACCGCTGAGGGTGAGGACGAAATGACAGACTGCACCAACCAGCACCAAGCCGAAGCCCTGCCTGGGGCCGCCAGGGCCCCGGGGCAGGCAGTGTCCTTTCCAGAATCGGAAGGAGGCCCCTTCTGCCTGGGCATGAGGAGCAGTGGCTGCCAGGAGGGCTTGCCCTGGGGCCGGACCCTCCCCGCCACCTCCCCGCTCCCTTGTGCTGACCTGGCTGGGGCAGAGACACTGCAGCGAGTAGTAGGCAAACTGGTCTCGCACGTTCACCAGGTTGTTGTTGGGGTTGATGTGGTCCAGGCAGTGGGACTCGGCCTTGCCGGAGGACTTGCAGACGTACTTGCAGTTCCCGAAGAGGCAGTGGAAGTGGAACTTGTTGGCGTACTTGCAGTCCGTCGCCAGGCAGGGGTCGCTGGAACGAAACCACAGTCATTGGCGTTCCCGGTGCCCTTCCCGAGGGAGTCCTGCCACTCGCCCACGCTGAGGTTCTGCTCCCCAGTTCCCCGGTGGTGCAATCAAGAGGAATGGCCCCTGGGCTGCCCTCCTGCTCAACAGGACGGTTCAGTCTGTGGAGACTACAGATCCCAGCATGCATTCCTGCCTTCTTTTTTGGAGAAGGTGCACAAGGGATTACAGTGTGCAGGCTGCCCAGAGCATTGCATGCTGGGACTTGTAGTTTCCATGGCCACACCCCAGGATTACAGATAAGGATGTCTGCAATGACTTCTTGGATATGAAAATGAGGGATGGTGCTGCCAGCCCTGGCAGGATGCCCGTGAGGCCTGGCTGACATGGCACAGGCAAGGCCCTGGATGTGGCTGACGGACAGGGTGGAGATGGGCGGGGAGCCCTACCAGGAAGTGTTGCCACCACGGGGCCTTGGCCAGTAGGAATGGGCACCTGGGGTCAGGTCCTGCTGAGGCTCATAATTGTGAGGATTCCCAGGTCAGCTGGGGAATGGGGGCTTGGGGCACCCATCTACTCACAGACCCTAAGCCAGCCGAGTGATGGGGCTGCAGGGCGGGAGGAATGCCAGGCGGGACCTCCGTAGCTGGCCTGCCCTGTGAGTGGGGGTCCCTGCCCGGAGCAGGGGGTCCCCGGCTGCAGACAGGCGTGGAGGGTGCTGCACTCCGGCCTTCTGCCCTGGCTGCAACTCGGCCGCCCCCCACATCGACCTGGTGGGAACTCTGACCAAGTCTGGAAAACTGGGGTGGGGGGAGCTAAAAACTTGGGGAGGGGGCTGGCACTGTGGGGAGGTGAGTGGGGGAAAGGAGGCGGGGGAGGGCCCGAGAGGCGCGCAGGTCCCTTCCAGGCTGTGGGCCCAGCCCCGGTGCTCAGAGAGGGAGGACAGCGGCCACTCAGGCGGTGTATGTTCACATCCAATTTATTACTTTTATTGAGAACAGGAAGCCGCACACATCAGGATACAGAGTCACCGTTCTCGCCGCAAGCAGCCACCACCGTCCGGCGAGGGGGTCCCTCCGTCCCCCGGAGCTCAGACCCTGTGCAGGGGCCGTGGCCTGGGGCAGGGCCTGGCCCTCGCCCCCCGGGACCCAGGGCTCCGCTTGCCCTGCTGAGGCTCAGCCAGGCCGGGAGCCCAGAGGAGCCTGCGGGCAGGCCTGCCACTCTGGCCCCCGCAGGGCCACCACCACCACCGTCTCCCCCACCCCGGCCACCTGCTCTGGGCACAGGAAGGGCTCCGAGCGGCCTCATCTCTGGCCAGAAGGACCTGCCTGATGACCGGGTCCCAGAAAGGCCGGGGACGGCCAGGGCCAGCTGCGGGCCGGGCGGCTGCGCCCTTGGCGCGCCTCGCCGGCACCTACTCCCGAGACACGGGGGGGAACACGAGACTCCCGGGCCATCGAGGGACTCACTTCTCCTGGAACTGGAGGAATCCGGGTTTGACCTGGGGCTTGGCGTTCTCTAGAGAAGTCGTCGCCAAGGGCGAGGAGGGCAGGTGAGGCACTGGCGTTGGGAGCTGAGGCATCTGGGGGATGGTGGAAGCCAGCTGCTTCCAGGCGAGCAGGGTGGGGGCGGAGGGCACCGCGGCCAGGCTGGGGGTGGGTCCCTCCAGGGAGGAGGCGGCGGCCGCGGGGACCGGCGGCGCCGGCGGGGACGCGGGGGCCAAGGGAGGTTTGGTCTCGGCCGCTGCGCCCGGGAAGGAGGTCTCTGCACTGCCTTTGGCGGCTGCTCCCTCCGTCCGGAAGTGGAAACTGCAAGAGGCGGAATGGGGGTCTCAGGTGGGCAGTGGAGGGGGCCTGGGCAGGCCGGCGCCCCCCTGCGGGGCAGGCCTGGGCATGGCGGGCCTGCCTGTCTGCCTCAGAAGCCCAGGGTCCCCGTGTCCCCATCTCACCCCCAGGGCCAGCCGGGAAGGGCTGAGCGGGAGCCGTGCACACCTTCCTGCCGGGACCTCCGTCCCTACGCCTCCCTACAGGGAGGGGCTGGTGGGCAGCAAGCCCTGGCCCCGTGGAGCCCGCCCCTCCAGAAGCTGCTCTGAAACGCAGAGGTGGGTCCGGGCCTCGAGTTGGCTCTTCTGCAGCCCAGCAGCGGGGGCGGGGACAGGCCGTGTGAAATGGCTGTGAGCTCTGGGTTCAGTTACAACAGGCGCGGGGCTTGCCGCTTTCCAGCTCAATGGGTTCCACAAACTCTTCAGATTTAGGTCAAAGAGCATCTACAACCGCGGCGTTCGGGCCTGGAGAGGCTTCCCTGGGGGTCCCTGCCCGGTGGGAGCTGGGTGCCTGCAGCTGGCTCTGCCGGCGGCGCCTGGGGCGGGGCTGGGGCTGCACTGGCCTGGCCTGGGGGGCTGAGCGGACAGTCAGTCTGGGGTCTGGTGGGAATTGTGTGGGTCCTGCTCGGAGGCAGGGAGAGGCCTGTGCAGCCTCCAGCCCTCGGGCCCCCCGAGCCAAGCACGGATCACAAAACGGGGCTGGGTGTGCGCGGCCCTCCCGAGGACCCCGACTCACTTGGCGTGCTTGATGGCGCCGTCCAGGGTGCTGAAGAGGGCGCCGCACTCCTCCACCACGCAGTGGAAGTGGGCCTTGTGCAGGAAGTCACACTGCGCGTCGCAGAAGTCCTTGGTACCGAACCTGCGGGGGGCCGGCTGGTCAGGGGAGGCCCTGGCGCTCCGGGAGGCGGGGCGTGCAGCGGGGCTGGGCGCCGGCCCCGGGACAGGCGGCCCGGCCTCCCCCTCCCCGGCCTCCCGGCCCGCCCTCACCTGCGGAGGTACAGCTTCCAGGGCTCCGGCAGCTTCTCCGGAGCCAGCGCCTTGGCGGCCTTGCCCAGGAAGGCCGAGGGCTCCACGCTGGGACTGCCCTCCGCCTCCGCCTTGATGTTCAGCAGGCTGCCGAGGTTGGGGTTGGTCTGAGACATCTGTGGGGGGGACAGGGGGCCACGCTTGGGGCTGGGGGGCCTCAGGGCACAGACCCACTGCCCTGTGGTGGCAGTAGTGCTGGACCCCTCGGGCCTCTCTCGAGGACCAGACGCTCCGAATGGACGCTGGGCGGCCTGTGCAGCCAGGACTCCTGCACGCCCCCCCCCCCCCCCCCCCGCCCCGTGTTGCAGGGAGCCATCCCTCAAACGGAGGCTGAGACCCAGGCCCAGCTTTCCCCAGACTCCGCAGCTCCCTCGTTATTTTCTTGCCGGGTTTTCAAAAGAAGTGCAAGAGGAGGAGGGGTGGGGGAACCCCTTCGAATGTGAGAACACGAGGAGGCACACAAAGGAGGCGCAGCGAGGAGGGCGGGGGGGGGGGGGCCTCCGGGGTCAGACGGAGACAGCTGGAGGCTGCTGGGGAGGAGGCGGAGGGACACGAGGGTGCAGGGGGCGGGGGCAGGGACCTAAGGAGGAAAAAGAAGAGCACAGAGCCAACAGGAGAGGCAGAGAAGGAAGAGGGCAGAGGGCAGAGGGCAGAGGGCAGGGGGCGGGGGAAAGCGGAGGCTCCTCCCCGGCCGAGGGCCCAGCCCGGGCTCCCACCCGTGAGGTCTGGCCCAGGTCCGGCTCCCTCCTCGGCAGTCACTTGTGTGCAGGAACCAAATTAATCTTGCCGTAGTCAAATTCATCACGGGAAGGGGGAGAATGTATTTGAGATGATGTATAATTTACAAAGACCCTGCATTATTTAAAATAAATATTCCGGGCGACCTCGGCGGAAGGCGTCCGCGACCATTACTCACCCGAAAAGTGGGGATGGATGCTCTGCTCCCCCTTTGGACGCCCCTCCCCCCCACCCTTCCTTAAACAAACAAAAAGTATATGAAATAAATAAATGAAATTAATAACGGGCCGCTGAGGAAGTTCGAGGGCTCGGGAGGAGCTTCGGGAGCCCTCCATCCGAAGGGGGGAAGAGGGTGTCAGGGGCTGGGATATATATTTCTCCAGCCAGTTCATTAAATTAATTTGTAAGCAGTGGCTCTGAAATTATATCCGATGAAAAATGGCCTCAAAATTTAAATGGTACAAACTCATCTTATTAGAGGCAAAACATTAAAAAACAAACACATCCCCCCACCCCCCGACGCAGCTCTCATTTCTCGGGGTGGGGGCGGGGGCGGGAGGCGTGTGATGGATGGTCCTTACCTTATTCATAAGCGAGGATAAAAGAGATGAATTTGCCGGGACTGCGTGGCCATTTGATTCATTGCTGGAACACACAAACCAGGGGCTTTAGCTCGGACGGACGTGAGACGGAGCCCAGGCTTCGTCCCCCTGGCCCGGCCCTGGGCTCCGGCCGGCCGGCCCGCGGCTGACCTGCCGGGAGGGCTTGGCCCCCGTCCCCGGTGGGGTCTGGCCCGGAGGGTGCTGTCTGTCCCCGGAGCCTCCTGGGGGGGGGGGGAGAGCAGGGAGGCCCCGGCCTCGCCTCACCTGGGCTCCTTCACCGTCAGGTCTACACTGCGGTCCTGGGAGGCCTCGTGGGGACCGGGGGTGCCCGCACTCTCACCGGGCTCCGGCTTCACCGGGGCCGGGGGGAACCTGGCGGGGGTGGCCTGCTGCCCGTTTCCTGGAGGAGGGGTGGGGGAGACGGTGTTAGAGGGCTGCAGGCCGCCGATGGGCACCGACCGGACGCCCCTCCCCGGAGGGCGGGCAGCGTGCTGGGTGGGCTGGGCCCCCGGAGCCCCGGCCGCCGGTCAGCGGCTGTCCCCCCTGACGTGATGGCCTGTGACGCGGACCCCGGCGTGGCAATCCTTCAAGTGATAATTATTGCAAAATTATGTCAGAGCCGTCCGGCTCAGGGCCTCCTGGATGGAGAGGGCGGGAGGCCGGGCCGGGCGTGGGGGCCCTCCCGTCGTCTCGGCCGCCGACTGTCACAGCCAATTTGCGGGGCTGCCGCTTAGGCGCTTATTGAGGACGCGGCTAACGCTGAGGGGAAGTGGCAGCTCCGGGCTGGCAGCGGCGCCCCCTCCGCGGTCCCCCTGCCCGCGGTTGCCCGGGCGACGGCCCTGCCTCGCACTGAGCATGCCCAGGAGGGGCATCTGCCGGCCCGGGCGATGGGAGCTGACAGCCAATCAGGCGGTTCAAGCGGGGTGACCTCGCCCGTCAAGCTGTCGGCGGAGACAGGCCTGGCGGGCGGTGGGCGCCGTGGGCGGGGCCGGGCCGGTGGGCAGGGGATCGGAGGCCGCACCGGGAAGGGCCGCGGGGAGGCTGAGGGGGACGTGCCGGCAGGCCCTTCTCCATCACCCCCGGTGACTGAAATATTAATCTGCCCCCGGGCGCCGCGGCCGGCTGAGCCGCCTCAGTCCGACAGCAAGCGGCATTTTATTAAAAAGGAAGGGAAGGCGGGCCGTCCTCTCCGCCTGACCTTTCTTTCGGGGGAAGGAGGCTTCTCTATGGAAACAGAAGCACTTGGCAGCCTGGCCGCTGCGCCCAGTGTGGCCTTGGGGGGCGGAGGGGGACACCCCGGCTCCCAGGCTCCCGGCCGGAGGGCGCGGCCCCAGGTGGGCCCTCCCCGGCGGCAGGTGAGTTGCTCCGAGCTGCCCGCCGACAGGAGGTCCCGGCGACGTGAGAGTTTCCAGAACTCAGAGCGTCCACATCCGCCAGCTCTCCAAGGCCACCTGCCCCGGCCCCCGGGGAAAGCCGCCCACGGCGGGGCGGGGGGGGGGGGTCTGGGCCACGGGGACCCTCAGACATGGCTGGTCAGGAGCCAGGCGGCGGGGTCTGAGGCTCAGCTCCATTGCTTAATGGGCACGTGCCCGGCACAGACCAGCCCACATGGCCACCAGCGCCATCAGCGGGCTCCTGTCCCTCTCCTTCCCGGCACCTGCCTGCCACCCCCGGTGCCCAGGCCTCAGCAAGCACCAGGGCTTGTCGAATGAATGAATGAGTGAGTGAATGAATGAAGTGAGCCATGCCCAGGCCTGAGCCATCTCTTCTCAGGAACTTGACTAATGCTCATTGCCAGGAGCGGGGAGGGGCGGGGGGAGGAAGGAAAACGCAAGGGACATGGAAAACCCAGCGGAGAGAAGCAGAGACAGTTGTAAACGAGCAGGAAACGTGAGGGAAGGAGGCCCACCCGTCCGGTGAGCCCGCGGGGTGACAGACGTGACCGGGAGCCACGCGGGAGCCAAGGCCGTGGCTGAAATGAAAGAGGCCGAGGCACCCAGTCCCTGCGCTACACCGGCCGCTCCCCGCCCTCAGCGGCCGCCGGGCCCGGCCGGCCGTGCAGACAGCGGGGCAGGGCCTCAGCAGCTGGGGGGCCGTCCGGGCGCGAGTCTCCCCAAGTGTTTCTGAGGGCAGCTCCCCGCCAAGTCACCTGGAGGGAACGGGGGCTCGGGCCTGCTCCTGGCAGCGGCTGGACTTGTGACTGGGCAGGGATGGGGGGCAGCTAGCACAGGCACCCCCACTTCACCGGTGAGGACACAGAAGCCAGAGCTGCCCAGGCTGGGCCGGTCAGCATGAGGGGCCCCAAGAAGGACAGAAACAGGACAGAGGCCGAGATGAGGCAAAGAGGGGGGCTCTTGGGGCAGGGGCCGTGGGTGTAGGGAGCAGGGAGATGATGCCTCTGCCAGACACCCCCACTCTGCTCTGTGCCCCCTCTCCCCCCGCGGCCTGCGAGGTGCTTGATCCGGGGCTGGGCCCGGCCTGCTCACCTGGGTCAAAGGTGGCAGAGGGCTTGAGGGCGGCCGCGGCCAGCCTGGCCATCATGGGCGAGATGAGGCCCTTGCTCGCAGAGATCCTCTCCATGATGGAGGCAGGGGGCACCGGGACCGAGGCGGCGGCAGCGGGGGCGGAGTCGCCGGTGGCTCCCGAGCCGGCGGCCAGCGCGGGGGTGTCGGGCGTTGCCGAGGCTGCCGCCCCGGACGACATGGCCCCCAGGAGGCCCGGGGTGCCCACGGGCAGGGAGGCGCTGCCCCTGCCCGGGAGGAGGGAGAAGTAGGAGGCGGCGGCGGCGGGCAGGCCCGAGTTGGAGAGGGCCAGGGCCAGGGGGATGGCGCCGGGCAGGGCCGGGGACAGCAGCCCGGGCATCTTGCCGGGGGGCTTGGCGGGCCCGGGTGCGGCCTCGGCGGCCGTGGCCGCGGCGGCCAGGGAGGCGGAGGACTGCTGGCTGGTGGGGGAGGCGCTCAGGCTGGAGTTCTTGCTGCTCAGGGCGGAGAAGTCCACCAGGTCGTCGTTGCTGGACTCCTCCTGCTCGGGGTCCTTGGCGCCCAGCAGCGCGGGCGGCAGCCCCAGCACGCCGGCCCCGCGGACGTGCCTGCGCTCGTGCTTGCGCTTGTGCGAGGTCATCTGGCTGGTGGAGGTGAAGGTGAAGCCGCAGCCGGCGCGGATGCAGTGGAAGTGGTTGGTGGCCTTGCTGTACACGCAGCCCTCGTACTTGCACTCCTCGTACTTGTAGAACTTCTTGAAGCCGTCCTTGGCGTACGCGTCGTCCTTGATGTGGTAGCTCTTGTGCTTCTCGATGTCGCACTTGTTCTTGAAGGTGAACGTGCAGCCGGGGCGCCTGGAGGGGCGGCCGGGAGCCTGTCACGGGCTGCGGGGGGCCACGTGGGGCCGGGACAAGGCCCCGCCCCGCTCCCACCGCCGGACACCGAGGCGGGGCCTCTGAGCAGCCCGCTCTGCTGTTCCTGAGCCGCCCGCGTCCGCCCCCCCCCCCCCCCCCCGGGCCTGGTCTCCAGCCTCCCGCCCTCCCGAGGCCGCCCCCCGCCCCCCCCCCCCCCGGGGCCTGGTCTCCAGCCTCCCGCCCTCCCGAGGCCGCCCCCCCCCCCCGGCGGGCTGGCACCCGGTACCTGCAGTGGAAGTGGGTGGTCTTCTGCCCGTAGAACTGGCAGTCGGCCGTGCCGCAGTCCTCGGTGGCGCGGAAGCGCTGGAAGCCGTCGTTGATGAGCTGTGTGTTCTTCTTGTGGAAGTTCTCATGCGTCATCACGTCCGACGTGCTGGTGTACACCTTGTTGCAGCCGACCTGCGGGGGCGGGGCTGTCAGGGGCAAGGCCAGGGGGCTGCTCTGACGGTGCCGCCAGGGCCAGGGGCCGGGGCCGCGGGCCTCCCGGCTCCGGGCACCTGGGCGCCTGCACACACCCGCGTGGGGCCCGAGAGTGACGTGGGGGCACAGAGAGGCCTCTGGGGGTCAGGGTGACCTCAGGGACGGACACAGGATGTCCGGGCACAGGCGTGGGGTCCCCTCCTGCAGGAGGTGGTTTGGGGTCCCAGTCTGTGGCTCCTCCTCTCAGCCCCCTGGGCGGAGGCAGGCGGGACCCCGGGCCCGGGGTCACCTCAGCCCAGGGACGCGCTCCGGGCAGGTTCCTGGCACGGGGCCCGCCCCACCCACCCCGGCCGGGCCCAGGCAGGCGGCGTTGCCATATCGAGTCAAAACCAGTGGAATCCGCGCCCTCGCGAAGCCGGGCGGCCGTGCCAGTGTCTGCACCATCTCAGAGCCGGGGGGCGGCGCCCCTCTCCCGGCCCAGGTTGTCTCAGGAGGCATAACAACCCCCTGACAAACACGGAGGCACGGCCTGCTCCCCCGGCCTGACACCTTGAAAAAGCCCAGACTCTGCGTGGCATTAAAACAAAGAATTAAACAAAAACCTCCCCAGGAACCCTTCGCAGTGCGCTCTCCGCGTTAAAGCCTGAAAAATGTCCGTCTGTGTAAACAGCGCGCTGGCCTGCGCCCGCACCAAGTATGGCCATGGGGCCGGCCCCGCCCTGGCCCCCCGCCCCCTGCCCGGCCTGAGCCTCGGGACTCCCCACTGCACCCTCACCCGCCTCCCTGTCCTGGGGCCTGGGGCGGGGGCGGGCGGCTCCCATTGGGGAGGGCAGCCCGGGAGGGACAGGTGGGGGGCGGGCGGCTCCCGTTGGGGAGGGCAGCACAGGAGGGGCGGGGGGGCGGAGGGGGGGGGAGCTCTGGGTCCGAGAGGGCGGGCAGCATGGGAGGGGCGGGGGGGGGGGCGGGCGGCTCCTGTTGGGGAGGGCAGCACGGGAGGGGCAGGCGGGGGGGGGGGGGAGGGGGGCAGCTCCCGGTCCGGGAGGGGCAGGCGGGGGGGGGGGGGGGAGGGGGGCAGCTCCCGGTCCGGGAGGGGCGGGCGGGGGGGCGGCGGCTCCCGGTCCGGGAGGGGCAGGCGGGGGGGGGGGGAGGGGGGCAGCTCCCGGTCCGGGAGGCGGGCAGCACGGGAGGGGCGGGCAGGCGGGGGGGGGGGGGCAGCTCCCGGTTCGGGAGGGGCAGGAGAAGGGTGGGCAGCATGGGAGGGGCGGGGGGGGGGCAGCTCCCGGTCCGGGAGGGGCGGGCGGGCGGGGGTGGGGGCAGCTCCCGGTCCGGGAGGGGCGGGCAGGCGGGCGGGGGGGGGCAGCTCCCGGTCCAGGAGGGGCAGGCGGGGGGGGGGGGCAGCTCCCGGTCCGGGAGGGGCGGGGCGGGCGGGGGGGGGCAGTCCGGGAGGGGCGGGCGGGCGGGGGGGGCAGTACGGGAGGGGCGGGCGGGCGGGGGGGGGGGCAGCTCCCGGTCCAGGAGGGGCGGGCGGGGGGGGGGGGCAGCTCCCGGCCCGGGAGGCGGGCAGCACGGGAGTGGTGGGCGGGGGCGGCGGGCACCTGCATGCAGTGGTAGTGGGTGCTCTTCCCGTTGAGGTGGCAGCCGTGGTAGTAGACGCTGCAGTCGTCCAGCGGGCTGAAGCGCATGAAGCCGTGCTGCAGCGAGTTGTCGCGCTTCTTGTGCATGTTGTAGTGCCGGATGACGTCCTGCTTGCTCGTGAACCTCTGCCGGGGAGAGGCCGGGTTGGCGGGGCCCAGCCTGCCGTAGGCCGAGCGCGCCAGCCAGGCCTCCCTGCGAATAACCCTGCGGCCTCGGGTCGAGGCGGCCCGGGTGCCTCAAGGCTGGCCCGGGACCTCAGGGGAGACAGACGCTTCCCTGGCCTCCCCGAGGGCTCCGACAGCCGTGCCCGGGAGCAGAGAGGGCGGACTGGACCCAGCCTCTGAGGCAGGGGCTCGGGGGGGACACATCAGCCCGGTGCCACCGATGGGCTATGGCGAGGAGGCGAAGGGAGCAGCCCCTGTGCAGCTGCCCTCACTCCCATCACTCGCACGAGCTCTGCACTCGCCAGCGGGTGCCTCTGATCGTGACAATGTACCTGAGCCTCAGTGTTACCACCTATAAAATGGGGCAGTAACGCCAACCTCCTAGTTCCCCAGGAAAGTCAACTAAATAAGGTGCTTGGGCTCCGGCCCAGTCCCAGGTGCAGGCAGGCTCAGGGGATGGGCACTGGAGTTGTTAGCACCAGGCTGCAGATGGCTGCAGATCCTACGAGATGCCCGCGGGCAGGGGTCCGGGCGCATGGGCAGGCCGGCGGCTCTCCGGCCTCGCTGCCTCCCGGAGTTGAGTGCGGGCCGCCCAAGCAGCCCTGAGCTCCCGCCCCCGCTGGAGGGGCTCCCGGGCCGTCGGCACAGGGGCAGGCGGTGCCCGGGGCCTCACCTGGTAGTTGCACTCGGGGTCCAGGCAGTGGTAGTGCTCGCGGTACTGGTAGGCGCAGTGGATGTGGCCGCAGTGCTGGCTGCCCGAGAACCTGCAGGGAGGGACCGGGCCTGAGCAGCAGGGAGAGGTGCCCGGGCCCTGGGTGGGGTGTGGAGGGCAGAGGTGGCCTGCAGGGGGAAGGGGTGGAGGCCCGAGGAGGCCGGGACAAGGGGTGGAACCCACCGGGAAGCCTAGCGCCGTCTGCCCCGGGGGTCCCTCTGCCCTGGGCACGAGGGCCAGGGGAGGCGCCGAGGCCTGACACCCCAGGGGAGAGCAAGGAGCTGGGGCAGCCCAAGGCCAGAGCAGAGAGGGGTGGGACGGTGGGATGAGACGGGAAGGGGGCCCCCTAGGCGGTTTTGTGCAGGTGCTGCCTCCCGCCCGCGCTCGGCCAGGTGCGGGGACCCCGGCCGAGCCGGCCCCTGGCTCTGTCGCCCGGAGGTGCCTGCGGCTCTCTGCCCTGGGCTTTCCTGACACTTGAAACGGGGCAGCGTTATGAATTTTTAAAGCGCAGCATCTGTCTGGTTCCCGAGGCCCGGCACGCACGCCGCAGCCGGCTCTGAAGCCCGAGCCCCCCGCCTGGCCACGGCCCACCCCCCGGGAAACCCCGTGCCGGCTCCAGGCCCCGAGGGCGCCGGGCGTGGCTCTCCGCCCCGGGGACGGCCACCCTGGGGAGATCACGCCATGGCAACCGCGGGGAGGAGGCAGGCTCTCCGCCAGCCCAGCCGGACGGCCAGAGACCGCGGGCGGGAGGGAGGGAGGGAGGGAGGGAGGGAGGCCCCTTGTTGGGGGGGAACCACTTGCAAATAAATATTTAAGCCGAAGCTGCCAAAGGGCCATCTGCTGAGGCGCTAATAATAAGGACAATAATAATAATAATAATAATAATAATAATGGAAGAGAGCAGAGCGAAGCTGCAGACGGAGAGGGAACCCGGAAGATCAGCAGAAAGGCAGCTGCCCGGCCTGGCCCCGCCATGTGCTGCCCCCGCAGGCGCTGGCAGCCAGGGCCTGGTTCGGGATCTGCTGAGGGGGAGGTTACCTCCAGTCCTGCTGCCTGAAGGACGTAGAGGGGCGGGTCTGGAGTCAGGGGTGGGGTGGGGGGTGAGGGCCCAGGCCTGGCCGGGCTGCGTTCTGGCAGTGCCAGTGGCCCACACCCACCCAGGGGGGCCCTACGCTCACCCGTGGCCAGGCCCTGCCCTTGGGCCCCTGCAGGTACCCGTCCTGCCTGGGATCACACCCCGGGGGCGGGCCTCCGAGACGGGGCAGGAGTGTGGGTATGGGGGCAGCGGGCACCTCGGCACGCGTGGTGGGGTGGACACATGGTCCTGCCGTCCCCTGGCATTCCTGGCGCCCCCCCGCCCCCTCACCTGCTCTCTGGACCCATCTCCTCCCAGGGGCCTACCTGGCAATATATTTCTGGTAAATGTTTACATCTTCGGTGACAGCTGGTTTATCTGTGGGCAGTCCGTTCCTGGTGAGAGACACAGGGCACAGCCGGTTAGCGGGCCGGAGTGGCCTCGTGCCCCAGGAGCGTCCGGGAGCAGCTCCCTGCCCGGGGCCTGGCCCTGCTCTCCTCGCTCGGTGGCTGAGGCCCTCAGGGTGGGGCTGAGCGAGGCCCAGGGCAGACGCCTGGCTGGGGGTCAGTGAGCGTAGGCCCAGCCAGGCGTCCCGAGAGGCAGGGCCGGGGGCTCCGCCTCGGGCACGGGCCTGGCCTGGTCTGCCTGGCAGAAGCCTCAGAAGCCGGGCCGGAGCCCCTCCCATCCCGGAGTCAGGAAGCTGCTGGCGGAGGAGGGGGGCGGGCACCCCAGGGGGTCCCAGGGGAAGGGGCAGCTCTGCTTCCTGGTGTGTGGCCCCACCTCGGGGGAGAGGTCTCGCTCGGCCCGCCGCCCGTGGCCAGTCAGTTTCCCGCCGGCTGGGGCAACGGCTTCGGCCTTTCCGCCTCAGGGCGCACAAACCTCTTCCCCAAACTCCGCGGCTCACCCCAAAGGATGCCTTTGGCCGATCGGACACAAAAACACAGGCAGCACTTTGACTCATTTCACACCACGACTACCGTGCTGGCTGCTGCCATCTTTTTATTTGACAGCCTCAGGGGAGAGCGGTCAGTGCTCCCGACCGAAGGCTCGGGCAGTGCATGTTTTTCAAAGTTCTTGGGGCGCAGCAGCTGGATATCACCGGCGTGAGCACTGAGCGTGCCCCCCGACTCTCCCCAGCCTCCTGCCTCCTCTCGCTGCCTTCCCTCTGGCCCGGGCTCCGGCCTGGGAGCCGCGGCCTCCAGCTTGGGCTCCGGAGCCGCCACCCAGAGCTGGCTTCCCTCAGCCTGATGTGGCCCCGGGGGTGGCAGGAGGGAAAGCCTGTGGCAGACACACAGGCCGCCGGGCGCCGGGGGCATGTGTGTCAGCGGCCAGCACACGCACAGAAGGGCCCGGGGCGAGGTATGTGTGCACACAGCACGTGTGGTGTGTGGGGCGGGCCCCTGAACTGGGCATGAGCGCTCAGGCGGGCAGAGGGACAAGCGTGAATGTGTGCTCACGTGAGCACACACGTGTGAGCCGAAGCACATGCGTGAGGATCCTGGCGTGCGTGAGTGCACAGCAGATGTGCCTGAGTGTGAGAGTGTGTCCACAGAGGCAGGGCCGAGGCCGGGAGGTGGGGGTGGGGGTGGGGGATAGGGGGGTGGGAGGGGGGAGGGGCAGGCGGCAGGGAGGGGCGGCCTTACTTGACGGTGGACACGGTCCCCGTGGTGATGGAGTCCGTCTTGGAGAAGGTGGACTTCAGGTACTCGGGCGCGTTGAAGGGCAGGGAGGCGGGGGGCTCGGGCCCGGGCCCCGCGGCGCTGGGCGCTCCGGGCGCGCCGGGCGCGCCGGCGAGGGGCGCGGGGGCCAGGCTGGGCGCGGGCGGCGCCTTGGCGGCGGGGCCGGGCTTCGGGGCGGCCCGCACGTCGTACTTGGAGGGGCGGCCCACCTTGCCCGTCTTGAAGGCGATGGCGCCGCCCATGTCGGGGCTGCCCTCGCCCGGCTTGAACAGGTGCAGGTACTTGACGTTCTCCAGGTCGTACTTGGACGGCTTCTTGTAGGTGCCGCCGTTCTGCGGCCGCAGGTGCTCGCCCGTCTTCAGCTTCTGGATGAAGAAGTCGTACTTGGAGGCGCGGGCCACCAGGCCCTGCATGGGCACGCCGCCGTGCGAGGGCAGCGGCAGGATGGTGGCCTTGGTCTCCAGGTGCGGGGCCGGGTGGCCGGGCAGCCGCAGGCCGGGCAGGGCGCCGGCCGCCGGGTCCTTGCCGGCTGCACGCTCCTCGGCCCTGGTGCCGTGGGCCGGCCAGGACAGCTGCTCGCCGGCCTTGAGCTTGCGGATGTACTCCTCGTACTTGGAGAAGCGCGCCCGCTTGCTGAGCGCGTCCTCGCCCGCGGGCGGCGCTGGGGCGGCGGTGGTGGAGGCCTCGGGGGCCGCGCCCGCCTGCAGCCGCTCGAAGCTGATCTTCCGGGCCAGCTCGTCCCGCGTGTTCTGGTCGTCGTAGCCGAACATGCCCAGGAACTCGGTCACGGTGGAGGCCGCGTAGTCCCGCAGCGAGGAGGCCTCCCCTGCAGGGGGGGGGGGGGGGGCGGTCAGCGCGGGGAGCGAGCGGGGGGGGGGGGGGGGAGGGCAGGGACAGGAGCCCCCCCGAGGGGCAGGTGTGGAGGGGGCCGGGCGGGGAGGGGCGGAGCGGGACATGATCTACGGGCGTTTGGCTCACTTGTTAGGTTTTACGACTCTTAAATTAATTTGTTTAAAAAAAAAAAAGTAATTAATACTGGGGTAAAATAAAACGAGTTCATCAATGCCAGGAAAATCAATTTCCTAAATGTTCTGGCCGATGGCTTTTCAGTACATTAAACAAAGTTTCATAAACGTCTCCGGCTCCCGCCTTGGCCTAATACGAAGGCAGAGCCGTTTTCCTGGAAGTGAGGCCGGTCCCGGCCGGCCTCGGGCGGGGGCCCAGGGCCCGGGCCGGGGCAGGTGGGACGTGGCCTGCAGCTGAGGGGCCTCTGGGGGTGGGGTGGGGTGCGCCTGGCAGAGCCTGCCCCAGGACGGAGCCCCCCGAACCCCACAAACGGACCCACAGGACCTAACCCCGGGAGGACCTGGCCTCACGGCCCCGCCCAGAACCCCCGATTCCTAAGGATCCCAGACACGGGCCTGAGTCCTCTGGTCACTCACTCATGCACAGGTGGCCTTCCGAGGGGTCAGGGCCTGAGAAGGCACAGGCCCAGGTGTGACCCGTCTCTGCCCCCCCGAGTCCACGCCAGGGACTCGGAGAACCCGAGCACCCCCCACAGGGACCACGTGCACACACGCCCGCCACCCCTTCCCGACTCAGAGACACACGTACACAGACCCCCCACCCACGCCCAGCGCCCGAGGCCCGCCTCAGGGAGCGGAGGGGGGTGATCCGATCCTCCCCGGGGTTCTCTCTGGAGACCCCGCCCTTCCACACCCGCCCTCCCCCCCCGCCCCCCCCCCCCCCCCCCCCCCCCCCCCCGTCAGACAGGTGAGCCCTCAGCTCGCACAGGACACTCCTTCCCTACTCTGTGCTCTGCCCGGAACCGGGGTGGGTGGGACCCACAGGGCCTCGGGGGGCACCTGTGTTCTCCCCACTCGTGTCAGAGCCCGCACACCCAGGCCCGCACACCCACCCAGCGTGGAAGGACCCCAGGCTGCGGGCCTGGAAGCACAGTCAGGGGAAGACGTGGCCGAAGACAGGGTGGGAGGCGCAGGACTCCGGCTCCGGAGCAGGCGGGTGTGTGTGTGTGTGTGTGTGTGTGTCTCCTCCAGCTCCCGGTGCCAACCTGCCAGGGCCTGAGGTCTCAGGCCACCTGGAGGAGGTCTTCTAGGGCAAGACTGGGCTTGGGCACAAGAGCAAACCCAGCCAGACGGGCAGAGAGGCTCTGAGCTCGGGGGAGGGAGGAGCAGGCCTGGGAGGACAGGGCCCCACCAGGTGCGGAGAGACAGTCCTGGGCAGCCCCTGAGGCGGGCAGGGCCCACAGACAGCTGTCTCCTGGGGCTGGGGGTCGGGGTGGGCAGCGGCCGGTGGGCTGCAGTCCTGTCATAAGCTCCGTGGGGCCGCGCCTGGCCTGGGAGGAGTGGGCTCTTGCTGTCAGATTCCGAGGCTCAGGGACCAGGGAAAGAGCCTAAAAATAGCCGGAGGCAGCGGAGCCCTCGCTATATATGGCAGGGAGACAGGCTCTGAGGGCAGGCGGCTGAGACGGGGAGGGGCCGGGCCGGGGTCCCAAGGTCAGCGGAGAGGGTGGCCCGGGCGCAGCCCACCGCGGGCAGCTCAGCCCCGGGCGCTCGCACGGCCACCCGGAGTCCCACGGGGCCGCAGAGCGGGGCAGAGGCCCCGCCCCCTGTCACCGGCCCCCCCAGAGCCCAGGAGGCAGGAGGCCGAGGTCCCAGAGCTCGCAGGACGGAGCTGGGCGGGAGGGGCTGGGCACCTGAGAGACAGCCCGTCCCCGCCCTCCCCCCTCGGCCCCGCAATCACCTTGCGTTGGGGAGAGGAAGGGCTTTCCTATCGGAGGAAGCTGAAGGTCACACTTTTCCTCATTGATCTTGCAATGTTTGTTAATTACTCTGTCACTGATGTGGCGAAGGATAATTAAACAGCTCTGTTTATATCTTATATGCATAATTACGTGGCTGCGCGGGGAGGGGATGTGCCCCTCGCTGCCTGCCGGGGTGGGGGGAGGGGGCGGGGGCGCGGGCAGGGGCGGCTCGGCACCAGGCACAGGCCCGGGGAGGAGGCTGGGGAGCCGAGCGCGACCCCACATCCTGGGGCTCCCGCCCTGGGGGTCCCTCGCCCTCCCCCAGAGCAGGAGGAGGTCAGGCTGCTCCCAGGACCAGGTCAGCGGGAGCCGGGCCTCCGCCCCCTCCTGGGAGGGGTCGGCCAGAGGACACGTCCGGGCAGGGCCCCCCGAGGCCCCGGGCCCTGTGTGAGGGGTCCTGGCCGGGTCCCGGGAGGGAGGAGGAGGGCGGGGAGGAAGGCCTGTCCGACAGCCGCGAGGGAAACCCCCACCCGGTCCTCGCCGCACACGCGTGTAGCTGTCCACCCACACGCTGTCCGTCCTCCCGCCTGCCTGTCCTCCCGTCTGTCCCTCCGCGCATGGCTTCCCGAAGACCCGCTGGGCGCTCGGCAGCCCCGCCCCAGCCCCGCTCACACACCGGCGGGGCTGCCCGCCCAGGCCCGGGCCCTCTCACCCCCGTTTCACTCAGATCCCGCCCGGCGGGCCCCCCCTTCTGCTCGGCTCCACCCAGCACACTCTCCGCGGGGGTCCTCCCCGGGAACGAGGCGCCAATACTTGGAACAAGAGTGAACGGAAGTGGGGAAAGGGTTTGGCTCAGTGGATAGACATCGGCCTGTGGACTGAAGGGTCCCGGGTTCGATTCGTCAAGGGCATGTACCTGGATTGCGGGCACATCCCCAGTAGGGGGTGTGCAGGAGGCAGCTGATGGATGATTCTCTCTCATCGATGTTTCTAACTGTCTGTCTCCCTCTCTCTCTCTCTCTCTCCCCACTCTGTAAAAAAATCAATGCAATATAAATAAATAAATAAAATAAAAGTAACTAACTATAAAAAAAAGAGTGAGCCAAGTGAGCATGTTCGGTGGGCACGCCCCTCCTTCCCGCTGGCCTTCTCTCGGGGTGACGCCCATCGGGGGGTCCCCGACACCCACCTGCAGGCTGCTTGGCGCCGGGGCCCCCGCCGTCCTTGGAGGCCGGCCTGTCGGCGTCCCTCTCGGCGGCGCCGTCCTTGGGCTCCTCGCCCGGGTCCTCCTCGTCGCTGCAGCCGCGGGGCTGCACCATGTACACGCCCTCGGGCGGCAGCTCCGGGCCCTCGCGGGCCGGGCGGCCCAGCAGGGGCGCGGGCGCGGGCTCCTCGCTGTACTCCCCGTTCACCCACTTCTCGATCACCGCCCGCCGCTTGTCCTCCTCGCTGCGGGCGCCCCGGGCCGCCCCGGGCTCGGGGCCGCCCCGCTCCCTGTCCTGGGGCCTCCGCGGGCTGGCCTCCGCCCCCTTCTCCACCACCACCTGGCGGCTCAGCTTGGCGCAGATGGCGTTGAGCTTCAGGCCGCCTTTGCGCTTGGCCGCCATGGCGGCGGGCTTGCCTGCGGGCGGGTCGGTGCACCGGGTGCCTTCAGCTGCAGAGGGTGGAGAGAGAGAGAGAGAGAGGTCAGAGGTCAGGCACAGCCACCCACCTCAACAGCCAAAGGTTGGCCACGCCGTGCTGAGACTGAACCCCGGAGCATGCATGAGCCCCTCACGAGGCTGAGCTGTGGAGGCCAAGCTCGCCATCGCTCCATCCTGCAGCCTGGCTCGGACCCGGGCACGTGCCAGCTGGTCCGAGGGTTTTGGAAATGAACGAACGAACGAATGAATGAATGAGCGGCTCCTCCAGGACGAAGGGCAGTCTCCTCCCAGCACCGGTTCCTGGAGGCACTTCCTACCCTGGCCCGGCCCTAGCACCTCCTCTGAGAGGCCGGCCGGCCGGCCAGGCCCGTTCCTATAAAGGAGGCGCACTGAGAGCGGGGCGTGGGGCCGAGCCGGCCGGCCCAGCAGCCTGGCTCCCTGGGGAGCGGCTACCGCACGGTCCACGGGCGAGGGGACAGCTGAGAGCCGGGAGCAGCCGGGCAACCCCGTGCCTTCCTGTCCCCGCAGCCCCGGTCGGCACCTGTCCCCACCTGGGCATCTCTCCCAGGCCCTCCTCTGCCTGGCCCCCTGGGCCCGGCCCCGCTGACCCCGGCCTCTCCCGCCCGGTCCTCTCGGCCCCGCGCTGTCCCCTCCGGCCACTGCCTACCACCTCCTCCTCCGGCCTCAGTCGGAGGGCAGAGCTCCCCCGGCCCTCCGAGGGCCACGTGTCCCCGCCCGAGGCCCCGGCTCTGCCCCCTCTGCCGGGACCAGGAAGGCCTGGCTGGCCCCGCTTCCCATCCCCAAACACGACAGCCCAATGCGAAAAACCCCAAGTCTCACGGAGCTGCCTGCCGCCAGCCGCCTCCCGTGGCTACTGCCCACCCAGGTGGCACATGGCAACCCAGCTCCCCATGCGACCTGGGACCCGCCTCAAAGGCCAACAGGGGTGCGCCTGCCCGCCTGTCCGTCCGTCCATCCGTCCATCCGTCCATCAGCAAAGCCCCTCCTCCTGGGGTCCCCGTGGCAGAGCAGGGGCAGGGCGGTGGCCACGACAGACCCACGGGCCCAGGCCGCCCCCGGAAGCGTCTCGATGTCAGGGCTCCTCACGTGGTCCCCAACAGGGAGGACGTGTCCCTGTCTCCACACAGGTCAGAGGCTACGCGAGGGGAGGGGCCCTGCTCCCCAGGCCACGCCGGGAGAGGCTTTGCCATCCGCACCCTGAACACCCTACCTCGGCCCTGGAGAAGGGCCAGACAGGGACACCTCTACCTCGGCCCCCGAGAAGGGCCAGGCAGGGACACCCCTACCTCGGCCCCCCGAGAAGGGCCAGGCAGGGACACCCCCACCTCGGCCCCCGAGAAGGGCCAGGCAGGGACACCCCCACCTCGGCCCCCGAGAAGGGCCAGGCAGGGACACCCCCACCTCGGCCCCCGAGAAGGGCCAGGCAGGGACACCCCCACCTCGGCCCCCGAGAAGGGCCAGGCAGGGACACCCCCACCTCGGCCCCCGAGAAGGGCCAGGCAGGGACACCCCCACCTCGGGCCCCCGAGAAGGGCCAGGCAGGGACACCCCCACCTGTGCCTGCCCACAGGAGGCCCGGCTGGTACACATGGATGACGGTCCCCCCAACACAGGCGATGCCCCGGGACCCCAGATCCTGGCCGTGAAGCCAGCCGCCCGTGTATGGCCACACGTGGGGCCCGGGGGTCCCAGCCAGCCCAGCCCGGCCCGGCCCGGCGTCAGGGCGAGGTCGGCCTGGAAAACAACGCCAAGGCTGTCACTCAGCCTCCCCACCCATGGCCCAGGCCGATGCCCACGCTACCCGTGTTTGTCCACGTCTCTGAGCCCGACGGGCTCCTTCTCCAGCCCCATGACGGGCCCTACTCGCACGTCTCACCCAACCGCCGGGCCGGCCGCCGGCACCGGGACACCAAGCCTCCTGCAGCGGCCTCCGAGCTCAGGACGGCCTCACCTGGTCCCCTCGTCCCCGGCCCGGCGGGGACCGGGCGGGCGGCTGGGGAAGCCTGCTCTATTTTTACCGGGAGGTAAGCAGCCAAGTGTGTATGGCAGACGGCAAATGAATCTATAAATATTTATCCCGAGGAAGAGGGAAGCAGAGGCTCCCAGGGCTGCCCTGGCTGCTGGTGACACCCACCCCCCTCCGCGGGCCCCCACCCATCCTGGAGCCTCCGGGCACTCGGGCCCACCCAGCCCTGCCCACCCCTCTCCCCATCTCCACTGTGCGCCTGGCTGGGTCCCCTCTGGGCCCCACCAGCTGCGGTGCAGCTGTGCACCTAGGCCAACCCCTCGCCCCGCCTGCAGGCCTCTCTGCTCCACCTCCGCCCCCTCCACCTGCCCTCCAGCTGCCGCTCTGCCCCAGCCCACCTGCCTTCCAGATGTTGCCCTCCCTCTGACTCCACTGTGGGTCCCGGGGGCGGAGGTGGAGGCAGCGCGTGGGCCCGGGGTGCGGGGCGGGGTGCGGGGTGCGGGGACTGGCCCTCCTCAGAGTGGAAACGCCTGCGAGGCCGGGGCGGCAGGTGGGGGTGGAAGGGCTGGGGTCCGAGCTGCCTGCACACCCGCCCTCCCTCGCCCCTCAGGGCCCCGGGACCCCGCAGACTGCCCCCCTCGTGGCCTGACCCCAGGCTCCCGTGCATGTAAACACTCCCCGGCGTTCTTCCCCAAAATATAAACGCCCGCGGCCAGGCCTCAATGGGAGGAAGCCATCCGTCCCCGGCCCTGTCACTGCCCCTTTCATCTCCTTCCCCCGCCGGCCTGCCCGCCGCTCTATTTACACTGGGCGCTTCCTCTGGGAACAATGCTGCCCAGGGGGCGCCCGGCCCAGGGCGGGGGACTCCGTGCCGCTCACCCGGGACGGGCGCCCGGCGAGGGGAGGGCGGGCAGCTGTGCGGCCCGGCCGGTGGCTCAGAGACGGCCAGGCGAGCCCAGGGAGGTGGCACAGCACCGTGGTTACGGCCTGGCCTCGGGGGCCAGACGTCGAGAGTTCGAAGCCTGGCTCGGCCCCTCGCTAACTCTGGGCCCCGGGCAGCCTGTCTGGAAGGGCACCGGGCTGGAAGGGGCGAGGGTGCCTGCTGGTGCCACGTGCGGGGCCTGGCGAGCAAGGACCGGGGGAAGGCAGCTGAGTGCGAGGGGCAAGGCAGGCCGGCGTGGGGCCAGGCCTGGGCACGAGCTCCGGAGGCGAGAGGGCAGAGAGGTCGGGAGGAAAGAGCGGCCGGAGGGCAGGGCCGGGCAGGCCGCCCTCGGTGACAAGGGGCTGCTCCCCGGCTCCCGGGGTCTGACCTTCCCTCCCTCCCGCCCAGGCCCCAGGCCCCGTCAGCCCCGGGCAGGCAGCTCTGGCGTCTGACCTGCAGGGTGAGAGGGTGAGAGGGACCGGGTGGCCCCTCGAGGCCCCGGCTCACGAAGCCCCGTGGGGAGCCGGCGTGGCCGGTGAGGGCAGGGTCCCCTCCGAAAGGGAGGACACTGACCCTGGAGCCCGAGGTCACCGAGGCCGGGCGCAGCCAGGAGCCGGGGCGCCGTGATGTCCCCACGGGGGGGGGGGGGGGGGGGAGGGGGCCCGAGTCCTGGGCCTCCGTGTCCTCCCCTTCCCAGGCCCCCACTCCTGGCTCCCGGAGCACGGAGCCCCTAAAGTGTTAACTGCGACGGGTAGAATGGAGCAGCAGATTGCTACAATAAATAATTTACTGATATTTATAAATATTCAAATCAGCCGGCTTCACAAACCCGGGGAGGGAGGGCCCAGGAGGAGGGTCGTGCTGGCAGCGCCGCCCGCTCCCCGAAGGCCCGGCAGCCCGGCTCCTGCCAGTCCGGGCGAGGGGCCTCGGCACCGGCCCTCACCCTCCTCTCGGGGGCCTGGGTGTTGGGGTGGCTGCGCCGCCTCCGCCGCCTCCCCGGTCAGGCCAGGCCTCCCGCCCGGGGCCCGGGCCCGGGGCCCCGATCGGCCCACGGTCCCGCCGGCCTCCCGCCGTGACTGATGCGCTCGGCCGGGCGGCCTGTCAGCCGCGGCTCCCGTGCTTTATGGGCCCTGCCTGTGGCTCCGCGCTCCCCCGAGGAAATAAAGTTCTCCCCGCGCGTCCCTTCTAAACATTTCACTCAGTGGAAACGCTGTTTAAGAAAAACGAGGGCATATTTCTTCCTAAGGATGCAGTCCCCTCGGGCGGCCTCCTGCCCGCTGTATATCAGGAGGGGGGAGGCCAGGGCCAGGCGCGGCCCCCTGCCCACCCCCCCGGGCACCTGGTGGCCGCCCTGGCCCGCCCGCCTGGAGCGATGGGGCGGCTGGCACCCGCCTGGCCCCTCCCTGGCACCGGGGACGGAGCAGAGCGGGTCAGTGCCTCCTCCGTGGTCCCCATGTCCCCACATGGCCACCGTCGTGTCCATCCCGACGGAAGGGCAGAGGCAGCGAGGCTGGTCCCCGCCCACGGTCACCCAGACTCCCACCGCTGAGCTCCAGCCTCCAAGGTCAGGGCCCGGGATCCCCCCACCCGCCTCCCACAGCCTCCCACCCCTTCAGGGGCAGCAACACGGGGGCCTCCGCCCCGAGCCCCCAGGAACCGGCACGGGCGGTGCTGTGTGCGCGCCCCCGGCACCCTCGCCGGGCACCGTCCGCCGGCCGGTCCTGAGGACACGATGCCGGCAAGACCGCCCATCCTGTGCCCGCATCCCCGGCCGTTCGGTTCATAACCATGGACTTCCTCAGCCCAGGGCATTTTCCCCGTCGATGTGTAGAGCGAGGGGAAGGGACGGGGAGAGACACAGAGAGAAACATCCAATGCGAGAGAGGCACACGGATGGGCAGCCTCCTGCCTGCGCCCCAACCAGGACCGGGGATCGAGCTTGCAGTGGAGGTTCATGACCTTGACTGGAATCGAACCCGGGACCCTTTTGTCGGCGGGCGGGCTGACACTCCCCTCTGAGCAGACCCGGCGAGGGCGGACTGTGTAACTGGGATGAGAGGCGACGCTCAGATCGTTACCAGCAAAATCTCTGTGGTGGAGCC